CCCCCCCCCCCCCCCCCCCATCCCTGTCTCCTCCATCCTTCTTGCTCCCCACTCCAATCTAGTAGATGGGCGGCTACTGCAGACTTTGCCGTTCCTTGTGATTTTTGCACTGGACAGGAACTTCAGGGAAGCAGAACTGAGAGAATTGGAGGTAGCTGTTGGAAACATAATGACTGTAATTGTTTGGGCAAAAATGTAAAGAAGTACTTTCCGGGGTAGTGTATATTTGTTTGATCTGGATTGATTATTTTAAAAAACAGATTGAGAGTTTAATTTTACTTTAAGCCTTGCTAAAATATTAAGTTACATATACTATATGGCCAAAAGCTTGTGGACACCTGACCATCACACTTGCCAGTATGGTCAAAAGTATGTAGATACCTCTTCAATTATTAAAGTGACACTATACTCCGGAGTTAAATCTCAAAAATGCTAATTAAGTGCCTTTAACTATTATTAGAAATGTATCCCTATTTGTGTATCAATCCAATCGGCTGTACATCCTCAAATCATCTCTGAATTGGTGCTGACAGTGTCCTTCCTTCTGGAGGGTGGCTACTTTTGTTCCCCATGGTCCCTGTGTGTTATAAAGTAGTCACCGCTCCAAGCTCGCTCCTGTGATAGACTACAATCTCAATACAAATTAGTAGTCTATCACAGGAGTGAGCTTGGAGTGATGACTACTTTACAACACACACAGGCACCATGGGGAACAAAAGTAGCCACCCTCCAGAAGGAAGGACACTGTCAGCACTGATTCAGAGATGATTTGAGGATCTACACCCAAGTGATACACAAATAAGATACATTTTTGTTAACAGTTAAGATACTTGAATACATTTAAGATTTAACTCCTGAGTTTAGTGTCACTTTAATTCTAGCTGTTTCCATTGAAGTGCACTGCCATTCCCCAAACGAGTACCAATTTCTGAGTTTGATTATATATTTGTATTCTAGTTGGTGGAGGTGTCCCTGTGCTACCCAGAGAGCCCAACAACATAATTAAGAACCCTCAGACAAAACAAGGCCAAGCACCTCACAACCCCCTTGATTCTAGCGCCCCTATGGTCAAGAAAGGAAAGCAGCGAGAGGTGCCCAAAGCCAAGAAACCAACTTCCCTGAAAAAGGTTTGTATTTACTAATTGTACTACATTGCTTCTCTGCATGCAAATCAGACAATTATTTGAATGTTTTTAGTTAACTAAAAGGCCAGTATACATGAATTAATTTTAGATTTGTATCAAACAACTAAACCATATTCAGAAATACATATATATTTAGAAATTTGAGATGCACTTTATTGCTGATAACATTAGACATGATGCAATAAAAGTCAGATATTTTGTTGTTTACAGATATTTTTATAAAGATATTTCTCAGTACGATTTTGTTAAAGTAAACAAGTACAGTGTTCATATGACATGGAGGATTGGTTTGATATTTAGCTTCAAAGCCCTGGTCCCAGCATGCTTCTGTCAACTGTGTCCGGTTCCTCTGTCTTCCTGGATGTAGCGAGTACATGTTGTAGGCTTGACAAATAGTACAGTGAGATCAAAGAGTACAGAGTTGAGAGAAACTGTAATTAGCACGGTACAGTCACATGACCCTAAACTACCAGTTTGCACATTAATCATTTGCTTGCCATGCTTTTTCTTTGTGTTTTGTTTGCACACCCCCTTCTTTGTAACTTCAAGTACGCTATTGAAAAGGGTATCTGGGCCTCCTTGTGCCAGGGCATTATTGTGTGTATTTATTGCTGTAGTGTGGACCTCTAGTCAGTTACAGACTTCAGGGAAGTTGTATATCTTAGACTTTTCATACTGTTAACACCCATTGCCTCATTTGCACTGTGACCAGTTCTGTCCCTTTTGTGGAGGGCTGTTTGAGCTAATGCATACATATAGAGTACAGGCATTTGAAAGCCAGTCATATACTTGGGTGCACTGAACAAAAAAAATAAATATATAACACGCTGAACAGCGTGTTTGTATTCTGACAGCCAGCGCCCGCCGTTGTTGGACTACCTTGCACAATGACTACAGCTGAATGCCTGCCTTCACTGTTCTGCTGAAAGTATTTGACCCGGAGCGAGCAAAAAAAAAGTGGATTGAGTGGGCAGGGCCACCCACTGTAGGAATTCATAGGAATCGGCCAAAATTCTTAGTGTATGGTCAGCCTTAATTTTCAAACTCAGGTTATTGTTTATAGTCTCATAACATGAAGCTTAACGGCTTGTGATAAATGTATACTACTTTTTCTCAGATTATTTTGAAAGAAAGAGAACAAAGGAAACAGCTGCAGGGTTCTGTACCCCAGGAAGCAGCCCAGAAAGTGGTGGAAGATCATTTAGATGATGCGGAGGGAACGGTTGAGTGCCAGGACGTGGTGTCTGAAGAGCCTCTTTGTTCTGAAAGTCCAGAGGATATGGGTATCTGACATTACATTGTCTGCTTACACTTGGTGAAATAATGTTCCTAACACATTACCAGGGCTATTAACAGACATTGCCATTCAACAGATTTGCCATCGTATTTCAGTGAAAAGGTTTAGACCACCGTTTCCTACAACTAGAAATATTCTTGTAGCATCGTCATTCACAATGCCTCCCTGTAAGGGTCCATTTACATCATTTGTGTGCGCTAAAGAACATGTGTTATTGTGCATTGCTTTAAGGTAGCTCATTACTTCAAATGCATCAGTACACACCAAAAATAGTGTCCGTACCATTTATGGCAGTGAAACGCAACCCACAACGTTTTGTATTGCAGCACCTTATGCTGAGCAGCAGCACATGTTCATTGCCCATGAATGGCACCCCCAGTGGTACATTGGGGTGCCATTCACAGCAAACATTGCTGCAACACAATAGTGTGAATGGACTCTTAACATCAGTAGTGTAGTCTAAAGTTGTCTTTTTTTATATTATAAAAGCTCTATAGTATGGAAGATAGAAATATTTTTCATATATTCTGGTTGGTTCTTATAGGGTAAAGCTTTTTTTTCTTTCTAAATAAAAACTCTTATCTTGACCTGCAAACCTTTTACAGAGTACATAGAACCGTGCACATCAGTCTAACATGCCTGCAAACCTTTTACAGAGTACATAGAACCGTGCACATCAGTCTAACATGCCTGCAAACCTTTTACAGAGTACATAGAGCCGTTCACATCAGTCTAACATGCCTGCAAACCTTTTACAGAGTACATAGAGCCGTTCACATCAGTCTAACTTGTCTACCACATTACCATGCAATTAACCCCCCCCCCCCCATTGTGCGTTTGATTTGAAGGAAGAAACATACAAACAGTGTCCCAGGTAGGATTCAAACCCAGCACCCAGCCAGCGCTGCTAGGAAAGAGTGGTAGCCACTATGTTGCCTCTAGTTGGAGTCATGTTTTACCAGATAACATGTATTATCCATCCCCTCTCTTGTTTCAGAGGAGAAAATGGAATCGGAGGTTGGTTGCTCTGCTTCAACAAATGAATCTTTAAAGAATCTCCCTGATGCCACCAGTGTTGTTCCTGTTAATCAAGTGAATACCAACCTCCCAAAAATTCACAGCAGAAGATTTAGAGAGTGAGTTCATTATAATTGTACATAATATTTTAAATCAAAGACATTTTAAGCTCACCTCATTTAATTTGATGGTGTTTTCTTTTAGCTCATGCCATCAATATTTGTTTTAAAGGAAAGTGCAATACAACAAATTGGAACCACTAATCGCATAGCTTGCTTACAACTTCATGCCTCTACACTTTTCCTCTTGAGCACAATTGATAAATTCTGCCCCATTCAGACACCATAACTCTGTTCCACCCATTTTCCAAGTGGACCCTGAAAAATACACAGATTGGACAGGGAAGACGTAGAATAAGGACAACATGAAGCAGGAGACTATGGATTGTGGAATATGTTTTTGCACTCAGGATTTCTGAATTGTAATAATGAATCTTATGTGTTTGTGCCTGTATCTGTACGGTATGTACAATGACAATGGCCATTTTTGTTTCTCAGGTATTGTAGTCAGGTTCTCAGTAAAGAAGTGGACACTTGTGTGACAGATCTTCTTAAAGAACTGGTGCGCTTCCAAGATCGCTTGTACCTTAAAGATCCAGTTAAAGCGAAGACAAAAAGACGTCTTGTGATGGGATTACGTGAGGTGTTAAAACATCTCAAACTAAAAAAATTGAAGTGCGTAATCATTTCTCCCAACTGTGAAAAGATCCAGTCTAAAGGTACTAGTGGAAAGTTAGATGTTTGGAAAATTACTCATTAAACCCCTTCACATTTTATTTGTACAGATGCTAAAATGCACATTTTAGGCATGCAGATTTCTTAACACCGCCCCTTCATTACTATATATTGTGAAATCACAGACCCTGTAGAATAAAATGGTGGAATTTGAATTTTTTTTTAATGTCACGTGATATTAACGCAATTGTTTATGAAACACAGATTTTTTGTAAACATACCGTTTAAATTAATGTTAATGCACATAAATACAATGTATTACCCAATTACTTGATCAAATATACAAGATGAGATTGTATCAAGTAAACGGATACCAAACATGTCAAGCCTCAAAATTGCATGCCCCCATGAGATGGTGAAAAACTACATTACTCAAAATTGCCCATAGGTGAAGCTTTAAAAGCCTTTGCAGCTCATCATTATTATTTATTGTATCTTTACTCTTTTACAGCCATTTGTACGTCACTTTTTTACACCCTATACAAAAGGAGTAGCGTCTTTTTTTGTATGTTTAATACAGACGTGGACAAATTTGTCGGTGCTCTTACAGCTCATTGATCCAGTTTTTCTTTCCTCGTGAAAAGTATGTCAGAGTAAAGCAAATAAAGGGATACAGTATTGTTCTACAAAAATGTTATAAATTGGTCTGGACAGGTTTGTTGGTACCCCTAGAAAAGATTATAAATAATTTTATAATAGTGATATTTCAAACTATCCGCTTTTTGTAATTCGTACCACACAGGTCTTCAGTCTTGTTATTAGTCAGCTAGCCTATTTAAATGGCCAAATATTGTTAATGCTGTTTGGTAACAGTGTGTGCACCACATTGAACATGCACCAGAGAAAGCAAAGGAGAGAATTTCTGATTTGATCAGAAATTATAGACCAGCATGTCAAAGGTAAAAGCTATAAGACCATCTTCAAGCAGCTTGATGTTCTTGACTACAGTTGCAAATATTAAGAGGCTTAAGGTCCATGGGAGTGTAGCCAACCTCTCTGGATGTGGACACAAGGGAACTGACCCCAGGTTGAAGAAAAGGGTAGTGAGAATGGTAGACAAAGAACCAAGGAAAACTTCCAAAGAGATGCAAGCTGAACGCCAAAGTCAAGGAACATCAGTGTCTGATCACACCATCCATAACCACCATCCATAAAATGGCAGAAAAGGGTTGGCTAAAATGCATATCGACAACCCATAATGCTTCTGGGAAAATGTCTCTTGGACAGATGGGACAAAACTGGAGCTTTTTGACAGCTGGCATCAGCTCTATGTTCATAGAGGAAAAAAATAAAACATGCCCTCTGTGAGGAGGCTTAGTTATGTTTTGGGATGCTTTGCTGTGTCTGGCATGGGGTGCCTTAAATCTGTGCAGGGCACAATGAAATCTCAAGACTATCAAGGTATTCTGGAGCAAAACATACTGCTTAGTGTCGGCTAACCCTGTCTCGGTCACGGGTCTTCCAACACCACAAGACACCGCTAAAAGCCTCTGAGAATAGCTAAGAACAAAACGCTGGACTACTCCGAAGTGGCCTTCTATGAACCGTGATCTGAATCCTATCGTACATCTATTGAAAGAATTGAAACATGTAGAGCCAAAGGAAATCTCACCGTGCCAATTCCTTAGCCGCCATCAGGACTCCCCAGGTGCTGGTCTAATAGGTGCGTCTCCACCTTGGAATGTAATAGTATACGAACAGACCGCACTATCCAGAGAATTCCAATACTTCAGACTTTATTAAAATTCACAGCAAATCCAGTATAACAGTGAATAAAGCAGCAAATACCAGCGCTGCACACCCCCAACCAGCTATAATCTCTCACATGTTTCACCCGTAGGCTTATTTATAGAAGTTGAAACATGCAGTCTGTAGAAGGCACCCATCAACCCTGAGACAGCTGGAGTAGTTTGCTTAAGAAGAGTGGATTAAACTACCTGCTGGCAGGTGCAGAAATCTCATTAGGAGCTTCAGAAATAGCTTGTATTCAGTAATTGACTCTAAAGGTTGTACACAAATGTTAGGTTAAAGGTCCCATTTTTGTGCGTGCCATTTTCATTTCTTCTATTTCTTAAAATATTCTGTGGAATCCAGTTTCAAGTTATTTCAGAGAAAAATGTCAAAATGTATCCACGTCTGTATATAAACTGTAGGATCCTTATTTCTATGATGATTTTATGATTTATAATGTTAATCTTAACAGGAGGCAGCCATGCTTGTATATTACTATATTGTGGTAATAAGAAATGACGCACAGTAATAATACTTTACCAATCCTACATGTACATGTAATAATAAGATGGATGCAATTCGGGAAGAGATCTCCCCTGTCCAGTCGCCTTCCCCTATTAATGTACCGGACCCTCCATCACACTTGTTACTTTCCTTTTTTGACCCTGTCACCACAGAGGAGGTTACAAAGCTTTTCTGACACCCACCTCACCACTTGCCCCCTGGACCCTGTTCCCTCTCAACTACTTCGGTCACCCTCTTACTCTATCCTACACTCTCTTACTCACATTTTCAATCTCTCACTCTCTACTGGCATCGTTCCCTCCCCTCTAAAACATGCGCTGGTCACTCCAACACCCAAAAAAATCCTCACTGGACCCCACCAACCTCAACAATCTCAGACCAATCTCCTTACTCCCATTCAGCTCCAAACTCTTAGAATGCCTTATCTAAAACCAACTGAGCCACCACCTGACTGATACCCTCCTTGACCCCCTACAATCCAACTTTTGCCCCAACACTGCACGGAAACTGCCCTCCTGAAACTCAGTAATGACTTACTGACTACTAAAAACAATGGCCACCACGGCTTACACGTGTTTATTATATTAGACCTTTCTGCTGCTTTTGACACTGTTGACCACCCACTGCTCCTCAAAAAACTCCACTTGCGTGGCTTCCAAGACTCTGCTCTCTCATGGTTCGCCTCTTACCTGTCTAAGCGCTCCTTTAGTGTCACCTACAAATCTAACTCTTCCCCTCCTCTTCCTGTAGGGGTCCCCCAAGGCTCTGTCCTTGGACCCCTTCTCTTCTCTATCTACACCTCCTCCCTAGGTCAGTTAATAACCTCACATGGCTTCCAATACCATCTCTATGCCGATGACACTCAAATCTATCTCTCTACTCCGCAACTCTCCCCCTCAGTGTCTGAAAACTCAACCTTCGAAAAACTATATTTCTGAAGGCACACGAGCAAAGCAAAGTTTTTATTTAAGGTGAAACATAATCCAAAATGTCTTCTAGTTTTGGATAACATGGGTAAGTGTTAGAACTTGTATCAGGGATTAGTGACAGATATTCACTCGAATAGGTATTTCCAAGTACTTTATGCTTTTTTTTTTTTTTTCTGTTCTTGTGACTCTAAAATGTCTCAAAGATTATAACCCCACCCTCAATAAAACGTTCTATTTTACATCTGATTACAGCCACCCAAACTGAAAAACACTTTTGGGTAGACTTGGCCTCCAGCATCTAATACACAGCAATATTTAATACACAAATGTATTTTATCAAGCTGAAAGGTTCACTGTTCTTTTAATCATACAGTGGAAAGGTTTTATGAGACTGGATCCGATTAGAGAGAGTCTGTCTAGAAATGTTGCCGTTTATAAATTGCTGATTGTGTCTGCATGTATGTTGTTTGTGCAGGTGGGTTGGATGACACTCTTCAGACAATTATTAGCTGTGCCTGTGAACAGAATGTCCCTTTTGTGTTTGCACTCAATCGCAAAGCTCTGGGCCGTTGTGTGAACAAAGCTGTCCCTGTTAGTGTGGTCGGGATATTCAGCTATGATGGAGCCCAGGTGAGGCACGTCTAACCTTTTGTCTGCTAGCGGAATAGTAGCCATTGAAGGGAGCAGCGTCATGTACCCATGTGGTCAAACTATTATGTATAAACAAAAGAGTCTGTATTGTAACATGCACATTTTGTCAAACATGATCGTTTTGTTTTCATAGTTCTGTCTTTAAATGTCAATTAGTCTTTCCTTTGTTTTACAGTCTCCTGTACAATACAAGTGATTGGTTACCTCACACGATAGAATCCATTTGTTTGCTCAGACATTTCATACACAGTCCAAAATGCAGAGCATGGTCCATGTAGCAGTATTTGTGTCCTTTGCATCATGCTTGTAGAGAGGTCCTAAAACCTGTGCGGTGTTCTCAGTGTTCCTACTGTATGTAAAAATAACGTATTACAAGACCAAGCTTTTCTACAAGTCAGGAACGGCCACTTGGTTTACTTAGTAACAGTGTATGAGTAAAGTAGAACAAAGACTTCATTTTGGGGGCTGTTCGCTGAATGACAGTAGTAAAGTAACCGCTAAAATGTTATTTGTGAGATGAAAAGAAAAATGACCGTAAACTTTGTCATCCGGCACCCATGAGATCGGTAGGTGCCAGATAGCTGTAGTTTCTGGTTGCTCTAGAGTGAATAGTAATGCTCAAGCAACCACCCCCTGCAGTGCCCTGCTTCCCACCGCAGCCCCATTCACCTTCCACAGCTGACAGGTGAATGGGTTTCAATAGCCAGCCCGCTATTGGCTATTTCAAATTGCAATAGCCAATAGCATATATTGAAGCCCCTCCCACTAAGCAGAGAGAGAGTTCTTTCTCAGGTCCCGCAGGTGCAATAGCCAGCCGGCTATTTCAATTTTAAATAGCCAATAGCAGGCTGGCTGTTTCTCTCCATTGTTTACATTCTGCTGCCGACCACTGAATCTAACCACCGGCCTGAAGCAAGGTGTAAACAGAGAAATTCCTTAGCAACTAAATAAATTTAGTTGCTAACAATTTTTTGTCTCCCCATGTCTTTCAACTAACTGCAAAAAATAAAATCGAGGACATTATGTTCTTGATTTATTTATTTTTTGGCCGGTTGCTTGATTGCCAGATAATGGAGTTTATTGTATATAACCAATAGGATTATATGGTTTAATACAGAGTTATATTTTACCAACTCTGAAGGGATGACATACAAACGATAATGTGCATCATGTTTGTTGTATGTATTGGAAAGGTGTGAAACCCCAGATATAGACTAAGATATTTGGCAAATAAATCTCCTAAAATGTAAGGCTTTTTTTCCCCCCAGGGCAGCAAGCCCTATTTTACTTGCTCTGGAACGCACAAAAACGCATGCAAGCGCCCTGGAACGCACTAAAAGCCCATTTTAAACTAAAAAAATACATTTGTTTTACCAAAAACGGCCTGGAACGCATCAAAAACGCGGCACAACGCACTGCGTGTGCAGAAACTCATGCAGATCTGGTCTGCGTTTGGTGTGAACAAGCCCTCAGCCTGAAGATGGCAGTCTGCCTCTGCCTATTAATGTAATTGTCAAATACAGTTACAGTAAAAAAAAAATGTTTGCCAGCCTATAATGAAAACCGGGTTTCTAATAAAACAGTGAAAAGTATACTAAACAAAAGTCCTTCCATATAAAATAAGTAATATTCATAAACACTATTTAGGTATAAATATCAGTCGTAGGGTTATAGTCCAGTTAACCAATGCATGCATGAACATGCTGCGGAATTTGGCCTCGGCATCTAGGCTTCCATGACCTCTGGTCAGGGAAGGGTGAATATGGTGTGGTTTACACACACACTCTCAAGATACAGCAAAAGTCAATGCTTTTCCCAATGTCCTGCTTGTTATGCTTGAATCCTTGCGGGATGACTTTTACGTGGACATTGACGTTATTTGATATTCTACTTTCATAGTTTTGGGTATGTTTTTTTTGTTTTGTTTTTTTTTTCTTCTCATAGGATCACTTCCATAAATTATATGAACTTACAATGCAAGCCAGACAAGCCTATAAGGACATGGTTTGCTCATCGCAAGAAGATACTGGAGAAGGAGATGAGGTGGAAAGTGTTTTAGAAAATAGTCCGCACCAACCTATGGAAGTGACTGCAAAGTCCGCAGCAGATGAGGCAGAAGAGCCAAACTACAGTGAGTATTGCCAGGACCTTGAGGTGTAACCGTCCAAGCCGCCTGAGTAGTGAGCGTTTTTGTAGTAGCCTAATACGTTATTCTAGTAGTTTACTGATTGTATTGTTAAGCTTCAGGGAAATGGCTTAAAGTGACATTAAACCCTGAGATTTTGTAACATAAAACAATACTGTAATGTGTGCCTTACTGTAATCCATGGTTGTTTCCCTTCTCTTTGCTGCTCTTCCTTTTAAATCCTCATGTCTTCTCATGCTGGGCAGAACTTCTGTTTTGCAGCAGACTGCCTTGTCTCTGGAATGGATACATGGTGTCTGTGTGTAGGTTCACAACCTGAGCCAGCACTACAGGAAGAGGCACTCAGCTGCAAAGGGAAGTTTTCCCCAAGCATGAGAAGACATGAGGATTTAAAAGGAAGAGCAGCAAAGAGAAGAGAAACAACCATGGATTACAGTAAGGCACACATTACAGTATTGGTTTATGTTAAAAAATCTGAGTGTTTAATGTCACTTCAAGACACAGTTGAAATGCATATATTTGAGGTGTCTTATGTGCCAAAGGATTTGTATTTCTGTCCATCCAGTCCTGAGATATACACAACCATGTCAGATAGCACAGCTAGCCTGGTGACTTCACTTTTCTGTACTTGAAGTGACACTAAACTCGAAAGTTAAATCTTAAAAATACATTCCAGTACCGTAACCATTAACACACATGTATCTTATTTGTGTATCACTCAGCTGTAGATCATTAAATCATCTCTGAATTGGTGCTGACACTGTCCCTCCTTCTGGATGGTGGCTACTTTTGTTCCCCATGGTCCCTGTGTGTGTTGTAAAGTAGCCACCGCTCCAAGCTCACTCCTGTGATCTCATGTTTAGTTTACTAATTTGTATTGAAGTTACAGGGAGGGAGCATAGTTGAAATATAAGGACAGTTAGTCATCTGTATATATGTTATGATAAAAACGACACGTCACTATGTGACCCACAATGAATTAGACTGGATGTGACCTAGATTTTATTTTACATTACTTTTATATGTGTATTTCAACTATTGGACCCAAAGAAATATCCACATGTCAGGTGTTTTTTAGTCTATTATGTTCTGCCTTGAAAACATTACCATCACTACACCTGAGAACAATGGAGCCAATGTTCTGAGTTCAGAACTTTCCTGCCGCTAGTAATGTTACCTTCAGAATGAGTACAGAGTTCATCTTGTACTGGAATATAAGGGCAGTAGCTGTGCCAAGAAAACACTTCCTAGGTCATGGGTTCTGTGAAGGCCTGGAGAGAAGTAACCTTTCACCAATTGCCGTTTTTGTGCTATGTATCTTTGTATGTAGCTTACAATAGCTATGAAAGCGAATGAAATGGCATATAGACATGAAATACAAATTCCTTCCTAGAAAAGCACCTTCCAGTTTTTATTTCTTTGGTCATGGAGTGTGAGTGTGAAACAAGGACAATCTGGTTGTTTGTAGACGTTTTACATGGTGGAAGAGGTATATTATGTGAAATAATTGTACGTTGCCCACGAGAGGATATCATGTGTTCTGCAAAGGTTTCAACTTTTTCTTTTTGTGTGTTTCCAGTTAAAGTGTGGAAGAGGATGCTGGAAGAGCAATACAATCCTTACACCCTGAGCCTTGAAGAGACTGTCACTAATGACATGTTTAATTTCCATTTATCATGACTTGGCTACAAAGAATATGTGGATTCATCTGAGTGACATTGTTTGTCTGGCTGCTTTTGGGAGTAAAGTCAGACCCTGGAGGGGCGGAACTGGGCTATTAGTGACTGATTCTATAGGCAGAGACATCAACAGAGCAGCTTAGTCACAATTCTCAAAGCCACCATGTTAAAGTGACACTAAACTCAGGAGTTCAATCTTAACCGCTTCCAGCGGGTTCACGTAAATGTACGTCATCCGCTGGAAGTGGTTATACCAAGAACACGGCCGCTGCTGCAGCTGTGTTCTTGGTAGCGTTTTAAACAGCAGACGATTGGTGCTTCAATATGGTGCGCCGCCGCTGTCCACCGTGAGTGCCCGGGACCTACACGGCGTGTCTCCCCTGATGCATTGGAGGGAGGTCAGCAGGCTTCCAGCCACTGATCTCTCCGCCGATCACTGGACCCGGAAGTGATGTGTATTACATCACTTCCAGTGTCACTGTACACATTCTCGGGAGAAGAAGAAGCTGGTGAACCAGGTCTCTGCTTCATCAGCTTCTTTGGGGTCCCTAGGTGACATTAGGGGTCTCAAAGACCTTGGATGTCTCCATAAAGAGGACCTGTCACATATATTTGCTATTACATAGGGGGCTTGTTATCCCCCTATGTGATAGCAATAAAGTTGAGTGTAAAAAAAACCCCCAAAACTTTGTCTCCCACCCCCCACGTGCACGCACATATAACGCAAAACACGCCTTTCTGGAGGGTGGCCACTTTTGTTCCCCATGGTCCCTGTGTGTGTTGTTAAGCAGCCACCGCTTTAAGCTCGCTCCTGTGATGGACTACAATCTCAATACAAATCATTAAACTAAACATGAGATTGTAGTCCATCACAGGAGCGAGCTTAAAGCGGTGGCTGCTTAACAACACACACAGGGACCATGGGGAACAGAAGTAGCCCCCCTCCAGAAGGAAGGACAGTGTCGGCACCAATTCAGAGATGATTTGAGGATCTACAGACGAGTGATACACAAAAAAGATACATTTCTGTTAATAGTTAGGGTACTTGAATGTATTTTTAAGATTTAACTCCTGAGTTTAGTGTCACTTTAAATGGTTAATCCGAGCTTCTTTGTGGTAGATACCGGGCTAGTATAGCTGGATAGTTAAACGTAATTGGTCTTTACTGACTATGTAATAAAACTGCCTCGGCTTAGGTGCCCTGGTGAAGCAACACAATCATTTTTTACTGTGGCCTTGAGTCAGCATTTTGTACAGTCTGCATGTAAAATGACTATAGCTGTAAAAGCCATACTGACATGTCTGGGCTGATTTAGTAACTGGTGTAAGGAGTAAAGTGATAATTATACTAATCCGTAGCATTTTCTGGTTCTGTATGTAATACCCTATGGATTCAGCACTTTGGTCCTCGTACGTATTCTTATTCAGAAATCCTGTTAATCTAACCTTTTGATGTGGAGACTTTCATGCCGTGGTCACAGTTTAACTTGCTCATGTAAACATGACTCCATTCTCAAAGCTGTACTTGACTACATACTACTAGAAAGTCTGTGAGATAGATGTGAAATCACAGGACACTTTAGGGCAGATATCTATAGGATGCTGAGGTTTTGCATTATGTACTAAGATCTGCTGAGAAGTGGTATAATGACACCGTAATAAAATACCGTATTTTGCGCTCTATAAGGCCCATAGGACGCAGGGATTCTGTGACAGCAGTAGTTAGTCACAGCTGAGACAGGTGGCGCTGTGATTACAGCGCCACGGTCTCAGTGATCACACAGAGCAGACAAAGAACGGATGTTCTTCATCTGCTCTAGGGGCTCTATGGGGAGCTCCTATGCCATGGTCACATGTCCCCCAGAGGGGGGGCCCGGACACGATCGCCGCTTGATTTGATACGGCGCCCATAACTGCATGTCCCAGACGATGGGCGATAGGGATGCGCTCCATAAGACACACACACATTTTCCCCCACCTTTTGGGGGGGAGGGGGGAAGTGCGTCTTATGGAGCGAAAAATACGGTAGTAATAGACTGTGATCAGTGGCTTTAGTGATGCTACCTTTGTGTAACCGGAACTTTCAGAGCACGGTAAAGGTGTCGCTGCAGACAGGAATGGGCTTTCATTCCTTTTTTTGTGTGGATTATGTAATTTGCTTTAACATGGAAAGCAAATTGAGTTTACTCCTTCCCTAGGACACCACATTTGTATTTCTAGGTTTTGAAAGAATCGTATAATTTTCATCTTACATTACATAACCTTTAACAGCATATTCAAAGTAAAGTTTCACTGATATGATGTATAAAATAGTTGGACACGGTTTGGGTTTCCTTAGTTGAATCCATTTGTATTGCAATACCACTCCTAGCCTGCAGATGGCATGGGTGCTGTCTATAGCAATGTATAGAAATAATAATAGACGCTAGTGGAAACGGCTGTCTGACATGCAAGAAAATACAAGCAGCTCATTAAGCCATTTTATGTCAATCAGAGTGGCGTTCTCTGTTTTTCATGGCACTACACATCTCTGTAGTGGTGGGGAGATGTTGTTTGGATAACTGTTAGAAAAAAGTTCTGTTTGGATCCATTTACGAATGTACATCAGCAGATTTCTTGCAAAGACCGTAATCTCTGGAGTTCATTTAGAGTTTTCATTTTTGATCACTTGTTTTTCACATTGTAGTCATACATGGATGGTTTTATTACGCTTTGTGATCGATTTGTTGAACATTTTTCAGCATCTTGTACACAAGCCTGAGGGCCACCAAAATGATTTGTATAAAGGGCTTCATGCCAAGGCATTTAAATGACCTTTCCTGCAGAGGAATCTCGAGAGCAGAAAGCAGATACAATCTCTCTAGAACCCATGTGATTAAAGAAGAACTCTGGACAGTTGAAATGTGTAGAAGAGTGGCCTTCTTTCTTAGATTTGCTGCTTCGAGGTGTTTTCCTCACTGTGTCCCTGCTGCGTTCCGTTCTGCATTGTTTCAATTGAACAGATCAACCCCATCGAAGTAGCAGGATGTTTCCTTAGGAAAGTTGGGATCTCAAAGTCTATCTCTATAGGTTGAACTCGATGGACTTGTTTCTTTGTTTTCAACCTGACTATGTAACTATGCAGATGTAGTGAAGGGCACCATGTTAATTTACATATTACACTTGCCACCCCATATTTGTATGTAAAGATTCTCAAGTTCTTCTTTAAACAAGTCATAACATATAAACGGTTCTTTCTCCTCTGTACTTGTGTGGCATTGTTCCTATCTCCAGATCTTACACGCAGTTTACAGCCTGGTCACAAACATTGCAATAACCCCTGAGTCTTACTGCAACCTATGGCAATGCACGCAATGCAGGTCATTGACATTTATTTTAACCACTTGCTGCCTGCAGAAATGTCTTACTATTTGCACACACATGCTAAAATCTGATTTTTTGGCTCAAACAGCTAAAACTCCCAAACAATGATATATGTTCTGAAAGCAGAGGCCCTGTAGAATAGAAAGATGCTATTTGCAATGTTATATGTCGCACAGTAATTGCACAGATATCATTATCAAACCGGTATTTTTCAGATAAAATACACTAAAAAGAAATTTAGTGCAACGAAACAGAATATAATACCCATTTTTTTGGTAAAATATGAAGTCAGGGTCACGTCGGGTAAACAGATACCAAACATGTTAAGCTTTAAAATTGCGTTCGCCCGTGAAACTGCAAAAACTACAATCACCAAAATTTGCCATTGGTGACGTCGCCCCCCCCCCCGAGGGGGGGGGGGGGGGACAGCTGAGCCCGGGGAAGCCAGCGGGGAGAGAGCACACAGCGCCGTACCATACAAACGATCCTGCCCCTGTGCAGAAGCTGGATCGCTTGCACATAAACAGCAATCAACTGCTGTTTAAAACAATGCCAAGAACACGGCTGCAACCAGCCGTGTTCTCGGTATAACCACTTCAAGCGGATGACGTGTATTTTTACGTGAACCCGCATGGAGTGGTTAAAAGGCATCCCAACAAACCTAGACACTGCACTGGAACATACTTGTGTTGTGGTGCATTGTGTTTAAAAAAAAAAGGTGCATTATGGTGTGTTGGCAACCCAAAATGAATGGGTTGCTTAACACAACATGTTAAAGCTTGCGTATAATATGTTAAACATACATGCATGCATTAATGCAACACACTGGTGTGAACGGCGAGTATAGCATGCTAGTGTAGAACCAAGGGTGTAGCTTTTGCTGTTGTTGTCGGACTGTGGGATGATGAGTCCTGAACAAGTCAGTCACAGTCTTCAACTACTTCTTTGGTATGAGAAAGAGAAGACAGGGACATGGAAATAACACTATTTACAGGTCTGACAGGTACACGTAGGGCCTGGAAGCTACGCTGTGTTGTAGTATCAAACACAATAACATAGTTTGATTATCATGGCCTCCGACAAACATCAATTAATTAGGTAAAACTTTGCACTAGTGTTGCAATGGAACATTTAATAGGAACATGTATGGTTGCAGTTAGAGAAGAAATATCCCAGAATGTGAAAATCTGTATCTAATGGGAGAGTTAATTTTAGGGATGCACTGTTATATCGGCCGCTGAAACGTATCGGCCAAAAATGGCACCTTTTGGCAAAATGCCGAAAGTGCAATTTTTTAGGGCCAAAATATCGGTGCATCTGCTTTCTCTCCTCCCCGCTGGGCGCTTCTCTGTGTCCCAGCCGGGAGAAGATAAACTGTCACAGGAGGCTGAGCAGTGTAGGAGGAGAGCGTTGTGAGCAGCCGGCGTCTCTCCTCCCTGCACCACTCAGCCACCTGTGGCAGATGGGGACAGCTGACAGCTCTCAAAGCTGTCACAGGAGGCCGGCCGGTGATGTGGGGTAGTCAGCTGTCGGATCTCCCTGCACCACTGATCCAGAATGGTACAAACACTAAGTGATCACTGAGCGTTTATGAAGAATTGAGGACATATTATGATTACTATATGCTCAATTATGAAT